AAACAACGAATCAAACCAAAAATCAAACTTATGAATTTCCAAATCTTCAAATATCAAATCTCATGCCGAAACCTATCAATTGAACTCGGAATAACGCTAAATTTTGCAGACAAGTCCAAAATGACATAACAGAGCTGCTCTAACTCTCAGAATCGCATTCCGACTCTGATATCACAAAAGTCAACTATAGGTCAAACTTCTCCATTTTTCAAACTTCAACTTTTCCATCTTTCGCTGAAATGCCTCAATTTACCCTAAGGACCTCCAAATCCGAATCCAGACATGCGCCTAAATCCAAAATTACCATACGAAGATGTTGAGATCATCCACGACCCATTCTGGGGCTATTTTCCCAAAAGTCCAATTCCGATCAAATTCTCACCATTTAAACTTCCAAAGCTAGTTTCCTTCTTCCAATTTGACTCTGAATCATCCGTTAACTGAATTCAACCGTGCACGCAAGTCAATAAACATATCATGAAGCTGCTCGAGACCTCAAACTGCCAAACCTGACGCAATTGCCCAAAATAACCAGTCAGGTCGTTACAGGGTGGAACCAGCTCAGGCACCAGGAGTGCCCACTGTTATTTCTGGCCTTTAGGAGGCCTTAGCCTAGGATTTGATTGTGTGCACGAGCCTAGATCAGGTGGTTTCGATTCCAGTGACACCAACTATCTAACAGGATGGGGGAGGTGCCCATACACAAGCTGCCCATACTCCAGAGTAGCTAGCTCAAGGTCACCAGACACCCGAGTGTATTGCCAATTCAGCTGGTTGCTGCTATTCGGGTCGAGGTTGGTCCACCTATGAGTGATGAGGAGCAGGAGAGGTTAGAGAGGTTTGGGAGGCTTAAGCCTCCAGCTCAGTAGAGTAGAGTCAGAGGATGCTCAGGATTTTCTAAATAGGTGTTATGGGATTCTTCGCACAACGGGTATTTTGGACATCAATAGGGTTGCATTCACTACTTTTCACCTAACAGGGGCAACTTACAGATGGTGGCAGACTTATGAGTTGAGCAGTGTTATCGGATTCTTCGCACAACGGGTATTTTGGACATCAATAGGGTTGCATTCACTACTTTTCACGTGACAGGGGCAACTTACAGATGGTGGCAGACTTATGAGTTGAGCAGGCCAACTGACGCAACACCACTTACATGGTGTGAAAGGAGTTGTAGTTTCACAAGCCATGTTGAATCCATTCAGCACTCAGGCCGCATGTACCATTTGGTCCTGTAGGCCGAGTTGTTCTACAACCCTCGACCGAATGATGTTGGCCGAGCTACCTGGATCAATTAGCACACGTTTAACTCTAATTTTATTCATAAGAACAGAAATTACCAGTGCATCATTATGAGGTTGCATGATTCCTTCTGCGCCCTCGTCATTGAAAGATAGAGTCCCTTCTGGTAAGTAATCCCGAGTCTGTTTTTCTCTTGTGATGACACTTTGGGCGTTTCATCATCGGACCTTGAGAAACATCGATCCCTCTAATGATCATATAGATGGTGTGCTAGGGTTCGTCTTGTTCATTTTGTTTGTTGGAGTCCCTGTTTCTGAAGTGATTCTTAGCTCGGTCACTTAGAAATTCTCGAAGATGACCGTTGTTGAACAACGGGGCTACTTCTTCCCCAAATTGTCGATAGTTCTCCATCTTGTGGCCGTGCGTGCCATGGTATTTTAATATTTGGTTGGGATCCCTTTGTGTTGGGTCAGTTTGCAAAGGTTGAGGCCACTTGGTTTCTTTGATGCGCCCGATAGCCGAAACGATGGTAGCCGCATCAACATTAAAGTTATACTCTGATAATCATGGTGCCTCTTTGGGTCCCATAGATCTATCGAAGTCGTTCATGCTCATGAGTCCCCGTGAGCTTGAACCTAGATCATTTCTTCTTTCGTTTCGTGTAGAGTTTCGCCCAGACCCGCTGTTCCTATGGTCTCCATTATACGGTTGATATCGATCTTTATTCGACCTTGGTTCTCGGTTGTTATCCCTCTTGATTCTATCTACGGGTCTGATAGGATAAACGGACCCAGAAGGAGCACCCGGTTAATCATCCTCAACCCTGATCTTCGACTGACACCGATTGGGCACATCGACCCAGGTGATAGCTCGGTATTCGATCAAATTCTGCTTCAAGTGTTGTGAAGCCACTGAACTTAGAACGTTGAGACCTTGAGTGAATGCTTGAATAGCCTAATCGTCAGTGACCTGCGGCAAGTCCATCCGTTCCATTTGGAATCAAGACACGAATTCTCTGAGCATCTCGTTGTCCTTCTGCCTTACCTTGAAAAGGTCCGACTTCCTGGTTTCGACCTTAATGGCCCCGGCCTGTGCCTTTACAAAAGAATCTGCAAGCATAGCAAAGGAGTAAATAGAATTGGGTGGTAAATTATGATACCATATCATAGCACCCTTCGATAGAGTCTCCCCGAATTTCTTCAGCAAGACAGATTCGATCTCGTCATCTTCCAAGTCATTTCCTTTGGTATCACACGTGTAGGAGGTGATGTGTTCATTTGGATCAGTCATCCTGTTATACTTAGGAATCTCGGGCATGCGAAACTTCTTGGGAAATGACTTCGGAACCGCACTTAGGGGGAATGGTTTTTGTACAAACCTTTTGGAATCCAGTCCTTTCAATTTTGGTGGTGCCCCCGGAATTTGGTTGACCCTGGAGTTATAGGTTTCCACCTTCTTGTCGTTTTCCTCGATCTTCTTTTCCCCTTTCTCAATAATCTTTGTCAGTTCTTCGAGCATCTTCATGATAGCAGGATTGGTCTCCAATTCCTTTTCGTCCGATTTCCTTGAAACCGATTCGACCCTGTGTACGATTTCTTGGGATGGCTCGAGTTCGACCCTGTTCGGTGTGTGGTTCTGGTTTTGGAGCTGGGCTATTGCTGCCTATTGAGCCTGCAATATTTCAAAGATTACCTGCATGCTGATCCCGCCATCTTCACCTCCACGTGCGCTCTGAGTAGCTGATCGGGGATGGTCCCCGCGGATGCTGCTTTCGGGATCGACGACCAAATTTTCATTTATGGCTACATATGAACTGACGTCGATTGGATCTACAACCGGAATTCCATCGGTGCCAACATGGGATGCCTCGTTTACTGGTGCAATGTTCTCATTTTCGCCATGGTGGCCGAGATCATTATCAATGTGTTGAGGTGCTGACTAAGAGTTCGACATTTTTTAATCGTGTAATCAAAGATACTTCAAAGAACAAGTGTAAAATAGTGTGTTACGAAAGTTTGTACTAGGTAGCCACTATTATCCTTATCCCCACGGTGGGCGCCAAACTGTTTACCCAAATTGGATAACAATTGAATTTATATGTAGTTTTAAGGACACGTGATATAACTTGGTACAAATTAAGAAGAACAAACTAGTATTGATATTAACGATGAAAGAAATAATGCAAACTACACGAACTAATTAGTCTTGGCCCTTGAGTTCAGTCACCCTTGAACCAAATATGTTTCAACTTGCTTATGAACAAAATAACAAGATAATGAAAGCTAGAAAATGACAGAATATTGCTTTGTATTGCGTGAATATCATGTGTTTACAAATGATCAGACCCCCTTTATATAGTAGGGGAATCCTACTCTAGGTACAATTCTATATGAGGTAAGAAATCCTATGATTGGCTAATTAATTGGCCTCTTCTTGATACGTGCCGGGATACGCGCTGTGATCCCCGTCCGATTGCAAATATTACGGCTTTCCGTTATTCGGCTCGGTAAGCTTCCCTCGATCTTTATCTTGTTCGATCTCGTTCTTGGTCGATCTCGATCTTGATCGGTCTCAGGTCCGCGAGCTCGGCGATCTAACTTTGCATCATGGTTCAATATGATACGAGGCTGAACCTTGGCTTATCGCGTTCCAGTCTCGATCAGTCATACAAAAAGGGCAAGTCCGATTTTGACCGTATACACATAGATAATTGGCTTAAACAATTAGGAAAATTCATTTCTTACTCAATACTTCTTTTACTTCCTCTTCGAATCTCCAGGTAGATCCTACAATGAAAATCATGACCCAAAAATCCAAGAAAAGTCTATGAAGAAACAATCTCCAAGCAGCGATCTTCTAAGATCATAAATAATAAGAATCTTTTTTCACGTGTGATGAACTTGATGATATAAGTACTAAAGTAGATAGAATTTGATTCATATTCTAGTGTTTTACAAATTCGAGTTTTCTTCAACGTATCATTAAGCTATACTCATATGGCGAGTTGTTTAACATATCACTTTCTCTACAAATCCAAAACAAAAACTCGTGTGTTTGCGTATCTTGAAGTTGGAGAAATGTCCGCAAAAGGTATACTGGCAGAATCAATCCACGAATACTAAAAGGAGAAAAGTCAGTGATATTTTATATAAAATCAATTAGTGTATAATATGTAATTGATTACTAATTAAATTGAGACTTAAGAGGAAAGTTTCCTTTGCAAGCACAAATTCTTCAATCTCGTTCATCACAAAGATTTCCCTTTTGCAAGTTCAAATTGTTCAATTACGTTCCATTACAAAAAAAAAAATAATAAAATTTGAATTGATTTTAAAGTCTTAAATATTACGGGGAATGTTTTTAAATTTTACAATTTTATACAACATGAAGTAATTTATATGAAAAAATAATTTAGTTTTAAAGGGTATAAAAGTCGATCAATATTGCAAGGATATTTTGGTCCTCCAATATTTAACATGAAACATTCGTGCTTTTATAATAATATAGATATAGATATAAATATACATAGATACATATAGATAGAATAAATATAAATTGATAGATAGATATAGATAGAATAGATATATATATATATNCACAAACACAAATGTTCACAAGAATACACAAATGTTCACAAGAATTTTTCTGTTCCCTGCATTTATTTCCTCTCACAAGCAAATGACCAAAGTAACCTTTTTTTAAGTTTCTCGCCCTGTCCCATCCTTTTCCCTGGTTACCGAACACGTAGAGAATGCTTATGAAAGACATTAGCAAAACATATATCGAAGAACATATTGATCATTTAGAGGAACCCCAAAAGTTTACAGACTTTGCTAATTGATAACAACAGGTTGCCTCAAATTGCCATAAAATCCTAATCCGAGCGTGGAACATACAATAGCTCTGCCTTGGGAGATGCTCTGGGGTAACGCGCCAATTCTATTACAATATTCCTTTCTCCCTTGGAACCAGAGGCTTTTACCTGCTTAATGCTCATACTTATCAAAGACGGACAACGAGCAAACAATAGCTTTACGAATAACAGTTCAGTTTTTGAACCCTTAAAAAAACGTATGACCACATATTTGAGCTTGTTGAGTGGTTGGTCCAAGCAACCTGGTGTGTCTAGATATTCCGAAATTGCTTCAACAATGTCACTGGTAGCATTGACCTAATGGTATAAGGTTATAAAAGCTCATTTCAAATTCTCATATTTGAATATGTAAAGTGCAAAAGCGAATTAGATCATGCATATATCGATTAAATAGAATACGACCACATATATTTGCCATTTCTTACCCAAATCTCAAGTTCACTCAATTTGTGGGAGCTCTTAATTAACTCGAGAGCGTAAGAAATCTGACCCATCTGGCCGAAGTTTATACCTAGCTTTAGATGCCACAAGCAGTTGAGTGTAAAAGGAAGCCCTTGTGGAACTGTACCTGCACTCAAAAGCTTTGAAGCAAATACAAAAATAAGAATCACATGAATAAGGACGATCCCTATAAGATATCCAAGTCAAACAATACCTTAGACTCTTACCTCAAGGAAAGATGAACTCAAAATAAGCACCTCAAGTATAGGCAAGCTAAGAAGAAGCTTTTGCAATTTTGATCTGTCACCGAATATTGGATTACTAGTCACAAGGTATAAAATTATCAAATTTTTGCAGTTCATAAAGCAACTTAGTTCAATATCATAGTAACTCTTACGAACAACCAAGGAATTCAATCGCGATGAAACAATGTTCAAGTATTTAGTACCGTTACAGTATATCAAGGTCAACCTGACAAGAAGTGGTGCGTTGATAACACCAAACTCTGTAGTTGGCACAAAGGTTATTTTTTCTAGACGAAGTATTACAAGATTCGGAAAGCCAAGAAAAGGCGTTGGTGGTTTGAAGACACAACTTAAGAGTTCCAAATGTGTCAGTGTTGGACAATTAAATATATAAGAAGGCAGATTATAAGTAGTATTATTTGACATGTTAAGGGTTAGCTCCTTGACACCGTTTCTAGTAATATAAATCATCCATCTATCAATATCTGGATAGGGAGATAAAACTATTTCTGAAAGATCAAGGACAAACTTCACTATGTCTCCAGAATGCTGTAACAGAATCTTATCTACATTGTCTTTGAAGACATATTGAGATCTTGCTGCTAGTTTGTTGCAAAAGAGCTTATTCAGCACCAAATTTGGAAGCATGACCCAGATATATCTCCAATTTTTTGATAGAATACTAGTCCTCGCCGCATCTTCTACTGGCAGGAGTTCAAGAATACCATCTATAACGTTTTTTGGCAGAGCGCTGATTCTATCTTCTCTATCCTTTTCAACATCAACTCTTTCACTGTCTGTTAGAAGAAGTTGAATTAGTCTTGCGCTTAAAACTTATAATCCAAAAAGAAGAGGAAAAAAATAAAAGAAAAAAGTGAGAGTAGTATACCTTGAGTCATGTTGATTCTGTAACGTTAATTAGAGTCTTAAAATACCGAGCAAAATGTGCCTTTTATAGTGAAGCAGATAGAACTAAGAGGTCTTTATTCAAAGATTCTCTTCATTTATCCATCCAGAGTCACCATACACATAAGCCACTACTTCATTGATTAATTAAATACAACAACAACAACTCAGTAAAATCCCACTAGTGGGGTCTGGGGAGGGTAGTGTGTACGCAGACCTTACCCCTACCCCGAAGGGATAGAGAGGCTGTTTCCGAAAGACCCTTGCTCAAGAGAATCAATATATTCAATTGTACATATTTAATTGGAACGTAAAAACATTCAGTAACCCAAGCATTAATTGAGAATCTTGGATATATTTAAGTAATTAAGTGACTTTGATCAATGATCAAATCTAGCCTAATTAACATTGACAACCTAATTAATTCATCATAGTAATCCATAATCATTTATCCAAGTACATGGTGAAAAAGGAGAAGTTGTCTCTAATTTAATAACCGAGGAGTCCAAGGAATTTATCTCATTCACTTTTGGGCAAAAACTACAAAACCTCCCCCATTTGACGTTTCAAGAGTATAACTGTATACGGAATATGTTGTGTCCTTCTTTTGGGTAAGAGACGAAAAATATTCTTTCTATGGCATTCCAAGAGTATAAGATATATATCCCAAGAATACAAGACTCCAAATAGATAGCCTGCTTTGATGCTAACTACATGTAAACCCTTTAGTGTTATATTTATTTTTGATTCCATCCTCTGAGCAAAATTACAAAAAGCTAAGTAGCTATTAAACAAAACAAAAAAAAAAGCAGCATAAAGACCCTAAGCTCAAAGCTAGCTACAATAGGAAAGAACATCTCTCAACTACAAAATTCTTCATCTGCCACCAGAGGCAGATTTAAGATTTAAGCTCTAGGCGTTCAACCTTTAAGATTCTTAGGATTGAACCCATTATATTAGTAAAGTTTTGGATTTATCTCTACTATTTGTTGCAATTTTAATGAGCTTTTACATTTAAATTTATGTTCTACATCAAAAGTAGTTGGTTCTGGCAAACCCGGTAACATTAAGCCGCATCGACTACACTTGCCACGTGAAGCCAAAAATGTTTTACAATTTATTTACTATATAGTATTATTTTTGTTTGTGTGTTTGCTTCTCAGAAATATTCAAAACAAAGGAGTTGTCAGACAAACTTGTGTTCTAGCCCGCCACCGTCGGCAAGTACCTCTGCCCAAAGAAATCAGGAAATTTTCAATTTGCTGCCGCCGTTGAACAACTACCAACAAATCTGTCTATTTAAATTTCTAATTTCATAGTTAACGAAATTAACACAGGTGATAAACCAGAGTTGTAGCCAAGTATCGTGAGATTAATTTCATCTTAACATTGTTTTCATACCCAAGACAAGAATAATTGCTTAATCCCTAATTATGGTGGCTATGATATATACTAATTGCAAGATATAATATTGACAACCATAACTATATTAATTTTATAATCTCGAGTTAGAGTTAAATAAACATACCGTTCAACGCCATCGGTAATAGTAACTACTATGAAGTCGCCACTAGTTCTTCTTAAGTTGAAAGATGGACAAGTTACAACTACCCTCCTTAAGATATAGAGCAAACAAGTATTAAGATGGAACTCCATGATCGACCAACTCAAGTGCTGGAAAGGTAGGAGAAGCGTCTAATAGCCTGTTAAAAAAAGTGCTTTTTTCCTAAAGTTAGAATTGTTTGGCCAATCTTTTACTAGGACAAAAAAATGCTTATAAGGAGAAGTAGAAGTAGTTTTGGAGAAGCAGAAAAAATAGCTTCTCTCTATAAGCACTTTTTTAGAAGCACTTTTGATAAAAATACACTTAAAGTACTTTTTAAAAGTTTGGCCAAATACTAATTGCTGATTAGAAGTGCTTTTCAAATTAATTAACCAAACACAAACACCAAAAGTACTTTTGAAAAAAGCAAAAATACTTCTCAAAATAAGTTGATTTTTTCAGCTTGGCCAAACATGGTATAAGGCCTTAGTCGAAATATCCTCTAGGCTTTGTATTAAGTTCAGATGATTTAATTTCTGTTTTGCAAAAATATGTATTATTAGGATTTAGGCAGTAGATCTTAATTTTTAATTTGTGGGTTTCTTAATGGCAAAATACCTTAAATCACCCCTAAACTTGGCTCATATTATTAATATCATCCCTCAACTATACCCGATCTTAATTACCCCCCTCAACTTGGCCTTTTGAGGGTCATTACCCCCCTAGACGTTGATGTGACAAAAGTGTGAGTACACTCGCCTGCCACGTGGATTTTTCCTGTCTATGTGGCATTTTTTTGAAAAATATTTTTTTTTACCTTTTTAAGAATATTACCTTTTTAGATAATTTTTTTTTGAATAAAATTTATAATAAAACTTGGGTATAACTACAATATTTAGGCTAAATATTATTTGGCCAAAAATAATAAAGTTTTAGTTAATCGTTTTTTGAATTTGACCCGAAAATAAAGATTTATACAATTGAAATAAATAGTCAATGCATCTAAAAAGTTATAAAAAATACAAAGTTTGAAATTAATTATTTTGACTATAATTTTTTATATAGCTATAAATTACGATGCTTTAATTTTTTTTTTTTACAGATTTTACCGAAAAAAGTAAAAATACACAGTTGAAATAAATAATCATTGCATCAAAAGAAGAAATAAAAAGAGTATACAATTGCAAAAATTTACGAGTGCAATTGTACACTCTTTTTATTTCTACTTTTAATGCAATGACTATTTATTTCAACTATATATTTTTTATAAATTTTTAGATGACTTGACTATTTATTTTAATTGCATAAATTCTTATTTTCAGGTCAAATTCAAAAAAAAGATTAACTAAAATTTTATAATTTTTGGCCAAATAAAAATATTTAACCTAAATAATGTAGTAATATCCAAGTTTTATAATAAATTTTATTTGAAAAAAATTATCTAAAAAAGTACTAATATTTTTAAAAAGGTAAAAAAGATATTTTATCTTTAAAAAAAATGCCACATAAACAGAAAAAATCCACGTGGCAGGCGAGTGCACCCACACTTTTTGCCACATCAACGTTTAGGGGGGTAGTATCCCTCAAAAGGCCAAGTTGAGGGGTAATTACAACCGGACATAGTAGCCAAGTTTAAGAGTGATTTAAGATATTTTGCCTTTCTTACTTTATGTGCTTTTATGGAGGATTGTTTTTATGTTTCCCCTCCTCTTTTGTACACCGGTTGTGCAAGTAAAAGACAGGTAAAGGCACCGCCACCACTAGGCGAATTAAATTTTAAAAAATAATAATTAAAAGATGGATTAGCCTCCATTTATACATAATACTTATTCGGCTATTCCCAATAGTTATTAGACTTTGCTTATTCACACACACTAAATATTGATATGTTATAAATATATTATATTATATATGTTCATTTAGTACTTCGTTTTAAATAAGCTTCCTGAAGAAGCGTATCTATATGAGATTTCGCCGTAAATATATTTATCTATTTAGTTATCTATTGAAAATAAGCCTCCTGAAGAAGTTTATCCTTTCGATACTCTGTTACGGATAAACATTACCACCAGTAGAAGATTATTCATATGTGGTACAATAAGCTTATCCTTTCGATACTCCATTATGGATAAACATTACCACCGGTAGAAAATTATCTGTATCTGGTATACAAGCAGCTTACACAGAAACTTGCAGTAGTAGCTTACACAACAGCCTCTGTTCTTCTATAAATAGAGGAATTTTTAGTTTATTAGGTAGATCAGTTTTGAAGTTGAATAATATATATGTTTCTCTCTATACTTGTCTTTACTTTACAGTTTTTATTTTATAATACGTTATCAGCACGAGACTCTTCCATCTCGAGCAAATACTTTTAAAGTATTAGAGGTACGAACTTTCTTTTCCTAAATAATGTCAAATCTTTCTAAACTTGAATTTGTAGCCCTAGATATATTGGGCAAAAGTTACATGTCTTGGGTGCTTGATGCTGAAATTCATCTTGACGCGCTGGGTCTGGCAGACACTATCAAAGAAAAAATCAGGCATCAAACCAAGACCGTGCCAAAGCAATGATATTCCTACGCCATCACCTTGATGAGGGCCTAAAAATGGAATATCTTACTTTTAAAAATCCATTCATATGTGGAATAATTTGAAAAATAGATATGACCACCTGAAGATGGTTATTTTTCCACATGCACGATATGATTGGACTCATCTAAGGCTACAAGATTTTAAATCTATAAGTGAGTATAATTCTTCTATGTTCAGAATTATTTCCCAATTGAAATTATGTGGTCATAATATTACTGATCACGATATATTGGAGAAAACTTTCACCACTTTTCATGCCTCGAATATGCTTATGCAGTAGCAATATCGAGAGATAAGATTTAAAAAGTATTCTGAACTTATCCCACATCTTCTTATAGCTGAGAAACATAATAGGCTATTAATGAAAAACCATGAAAGCCGACCTACTGGTTCTTGTCCATTTCCTGAAGTGAATGAGACGAACTTCCACTAAGCTAAACGTGGAAGAGGTCGTGGCCCAGTCGTGGTCATGGCCGTGGTCAGGGAAGAAACTCTAATCATGGTAATAATAATGCATCAAAGAACCCTTTTCGCCACCATCAGTGGAAAAGGAAGGAACAAAAGCATAAAGTGCTGCAAGCACCAAATGCAGAAAATGCATGCTATAAATGTGGAGGAAAAGTGCACTGGTCATGTACATGCCGTACGCCAAAGCACCTGGTTGAGCTTTATCAAACCTACCTAAAGAAGACAGAGAAAAATGCCGAAGCAAATTTTATTTCTAAAGATAATTTAGACTTCTTGCATTTAGATGTAGATGATTACTTTAAACTCCCATAAGAAGAAACAAGTCATGTAATCGGTGGTGAATTTGTAGAAATGTAAATATTTTATTTTTTGTTGTTTGTAATAGATAGTAGGGCTATGTAATTGTTGTACATAAATAAAAGTTATGCTTTGATAATGATGTTTACTATAATATATTTTATTTATATCATTTTGAAGAATATGGATAATCCTCAAATTATGTTTGGATCAAAGACAAATCATGAATATATTTGTGTTATTGATAGTGGAACAACTCATGCCATAATCAAGGATCAGAAATACTTTTCTTATTTGCATAAGGAAAAAGCAAATTTAACAATTTCTGGTTATATAAGTTTGATTGAAGGCTCCGGAAGAGCCATTATATTTCTGTCTAAGGGAACAAAACTTATTATAGACAATGCATTATTCTCCTCCAAGTCCCAAAGAAACTTGTTGAGTTTTATAGATATCCGCCGAAATGGGTATCATGTTGAGACAATAGATGAAATGAACGTGGAATATCTTTGTATTACAAAGAATATTTCTGGCCAGAAATGCATTGTAGAAAAGTTACCGACTTTATCTTCTGGCCTATACTATTCAAAAATTAGTACAATTGAAGCACAATAAATAAGAAGTTTACGGATTCAAATACTTTTGTGCTTTGGCATGGCCGTTTAGGCCATCCTGGATCAATAATGATGAGACGAATTACTGAAAATTTGAGTGAGAATCCGTTAAAGAACTTGAAGATTCTTACAGATGATGAATTTTCTTGTGATGCTTGTTATCAAGGCAAAATGATCACTAGACCATCACCAATGAAGGCTGGCGTTGAATCCCCTGCCTTTTTAGAGCGTATACATGGGGATATATGTAGATCTATTCACCCACCAAGTGGGTTATTTAGATATTTTATGGTCCTAATAGATGCATCTTCAAGATGGTCGCATGTGTGCCTACTATCATGTCGCAGCCTAGCATTTGCAAATCTATTAGCCCAAATAATTCGATTAATGTCACAATTCCCAGATTATTGTATAAAGGCTATTCTCCTTGATAATGCTGGAGAATTCTTATCTCAAGCTTTTGATGATTATTGTCTATCAGTTGGGATAAAAGTTGAACATCTTGTAGCTTATGTTTATACTCAAAATGGCCTTGCAGAGTCATTTATTAAATGCCTGCAATTGATAGCAAGACCACTACTTATGAAAACAAAATTGTCCACTACTGTTTGGGGCCATGCTATCTTGCATGCAACATCACTTATTCATCTCAGACCGATACATTATAATAGATATTCTCCATCACAATTAGTTTTTGGTCATGAACCAAATATTACCCATCTATGAATAATTGGATGTGTTGTATATGTGCCAGTAGCACCACCACATCGCAGTAAGATGGGACCACATAGAAGGATATGAATATATGTTCGGTATGAATCACCCTCTATTATTCTCTCTCTTGAACCATTGACAAGAGATTTATTTACTGCTTGATTTGCAGCTTGTCGGTTTGATGAAACAAAGTTTCCATAATTAGTCGGAGAGATAAAGGAAATCGAAAGAGAAATTGTGTGGAAAGTTTTATCATTATCTCACTTTGACCCACGTACCTCTATATGTAATCAGGAGGTCCAGAAGATCATCCATTTGCAGAATATAGAAAATCAAATTCCAGACGCATTTACTGATTTGAAAAAGATAACTAAGTTATATATCCCTGCAGAGAATGTACCTATCCGAATTGATGTCCCAGTAGGACCATCTACTAGCATGAGAGCTAGTGAACCTAAAGCACGCCTAAAACATGGTAGGCCTTTAGGTTCTAAGGATCGAAATCCTCGAAAAAG